GATTTTTAAGCCCAACTCTAAACACTGATGGACATACTCTGCTAATGTAAAGACTCACAACAACAACTGTTTATTCCCAGTGAAATTCACCTAAGCGTGTGATCAGAAGTAAACATGCAAAACATCCATTTAAACTTGTACTCTGTAAGCCAACAAATATTAACAGCCATTTAAAATACACTACATTTGACCAAAAACACCAGATCAGTCAAAACCTAGAAGACTAGGGTAAGATGAAATACTGACAGTTTCATGATAAAAAGAACAAAATATCCCAATTTAATTGTGCAGAATTTGCCAGTAAAGGATAACAAACTTCATTTTCCTAAATGGAAGTCAAAACTGAACTTCCAGAAATGTTTCTTACATTAGTATTTTGAAAAAACACATTCACCACAGTTAAGCACACTACATTATCCCACTGAGATTTTACTTTACTTTTCTTTAAATATATATTTAAAGTACTGCAGTTATATTAAATGATCCATGTCTGCTACTTTTATTGAAGTTTCACGGAATACTACGCAGGTTCTGCATCTGTTTCTCCTGAAATATCTGATGTACAGATGCCTCCTACTGTCAAACCTGAAATACTACAACCTGAAAAAAACACTGAATTTGATCCTTCAAAGTCTCTACGTCTAAAATCTGTTTATTCCTTATTAAATTTTTCCTTTTCCATGTTCAGAGTTGATACTGGTAACAGAAATGTTTGGTTTTTAAATACACTGGTCTCCTATATCATAAGTTCCCTAACTTAGACTCAAGTAGTTGAAATTCTGTATGTGTAACCTTAATTAAAGAGTAATTATGGTAAGACTAATTAAAGTGTTCTTTTTAAACCCTGAGGCAAGTTGAACATTGTTTTGGGAAGCCACCGTGAAAGGCTTAAAAGCCCATAATTTTACTAGTGTCTTCCTGGTTAATGAATCTGCAGGCAGCAGCCTGACATCAACTATCAATTACTAGTTTCAAAGGGATGCTAAACCTATCCTGAGTGACAACCCTTAAACATCATCATTTCTTCCATTATTGAGAATTCACTAAACCAGAAAAAGGGTTAAGAGGGAAACCTAAAGGAAGTATGAGCTGGTCATCGCTAGACAGAAGGAGAATGAGGAGGAAAAAAAGTAGTCAAGGGTTGAGAAATACATGACAAATAGATATGTTGCAATATGTGATTAATTAGACAGTAAGTTCTTACTTCTAAAGTATTTTCTTGACTTTTACCATCTTCCAGTAATTTCACTGGAACATGCTGCTGCTGGAACACTGAAGCACTGAACCTGTGATCTGGGGGAGTTTTCCTTTTACGGATTCCATCTCACAGATACCTGCACATACCTCACAGTAAACCAGACATAAATAGATGGAAGATTTACCATAACTACCAACCACATTTCCTCAGGCCTTAGCATTCCTTGTAACCCATGGCAGTACCAAATGAAGAAACTGTGTGCAATGCACAGACTATTGGCATTGCAGCTGCTCCAGCCTGGCTTCTTCAAAGTCCCTTGCACTTCAGAGATAGCTGTCTTCTAAAATATTAAAAAGGCAGAGGTCTAACAGGAGGATTTAAAGAGTGATGAGACAAATCTTGTCCAACATGCCATGTAGACAAACTTCCAGCTCCTCTTGGTAGTGTCCAGAAGTAAGACTTACTATTTCCAGTAGATGGATTTATGTTCACTTTAGTAAGCATTAAAAGTCCTGACTTCAACACCCTCTTGAAAACTTGCAGGGAACCAGTGCATCTCAAATAGGAATGAGCAGTTATTAAGAAATGAAACTGAATGTGTGGTAGCAACAACTTCTCTGACCTGTACCAGTCTTGGACTGGAGGAGGCTACATCTGCACAGAATGAAGGAGGAAGCGCTGTAGAGCTGAGTCTACCTACTCCAACATCTGTGCGGCTCTAGCCCCAACCTAGCAGGCCATCAAGGCTGTTACACACAGAAATGCCTTCACTATCAGACTGTCCCCTTTGTACCAAAGAGTTTAGCATTTTGTTTCCTTAAGCCACCGAGAATGCCACAACACAATCCTCCTCCCCAGTGCAAAGCATCTGAGAAACTGCTGCACAGACACCTTTGGAAATAGGAAATCTCTGACAGACAAGCTAATCATCCATTTTGTGTAAGTTCCCTATCAATTTCTGAATCAGCTCTACAGCAATGGGCCTAGGGACTAAGTTTAAGTACCAGCTTGAAGGCAAAGATCAACACATCTGGTTCCTGCAGTTTTCTATATGCTGCTGGTTTGGGTGGATTTTTTTTTTTTTCTGTTATGTAAAAAGTGAAAACATGTCAAAATTACAGTATCTGCTACATAGCTTAGGAAACATCAGTCCCAAGAATCCAACTAAGGATCTGAGCTTATGAAGCTAGTTAGCTGTAGGATACATTGCTAAGAAGTGTTGATATGCCTAGTGTTTAAATAATCCAAGGTAACATTTCTAACTGCACCTGACATCACATCACCCTTCTCCAGAAAGTAAAACTTGAGAATGCTAATCTTAAATACGGTCTACTACTTTATTTCAGGATACTTTTTTTTTTTTTAAACTATTAACAAAGTTTAGCACTAAAGAGTTTCTTGTCTGGTAATGTAATCTACATTTGCTGAAAGTGTAGAACTACCAAGAAGCATCCCTTTCCATCAAGCGTAAGCTCTGAGCACACTTCCCTCTTATCCAAAGTCTGTTAATTCTGCTACCTCTTTCCTCACTAACCCTCCATTTTTGCCTAAGATAATTCTCCCTTCAATACAGCAACCAAAACTGGACAGAAGACATCATTTACAGAGACCTTAAATTTTGGTGCAGTACTGCAACAACTGACCAAGAAATCCTATTTCAGTGACACATTTTCCTAGCCTGAACTTGTTAACAACCAGGTAACTTATCTTCCTCAAATACTAAATGAACAGTTTCTCCACAGCTGCTATAAATCCATGAGAAGTGAAAAGAATGACTCACAATACTTCAATCAATGTTGAAAGTTTAATGTTCCTGCTACATACTGCCTTTCAGAGTTGCTAAACAAGAGTGTCACTGATCACAGAACTACATTAAGCACCAAAACAGTTTTTATTTAACTGATGCCATAAGAACTGGCACCTCAATTTGTATGATTATGTCCTTCCTTTTGCTGCAGTCTGGGGAGCACAAGAACTGCTGATTTAGAACTAGGCAAGTCAATCTAGAGAGAAGCTTGCCAAAAATCTGTCAGAGACAGATTCATGGCTCTGGATCTTGCAGGCTGCAGATGAGCTTTGATATCTACCCACTCTCCTTTTCAAATATTGTATCCCATTGTATGATATGAAGATATTAAATGAGAAAGCATTTGAAACACAAGCCAAATTTCTTAAGAAAAGTGACTTCTGAAATTCATGGGACAACTTCTAACAGTGCTTTCTCTTTAAGATAGTTGCCAGATGCTGTTAGTAAAAATGGGCTAGATCTAAGTAAGGACTTCAGATACTTCTCATGTCCAAAAGTATGAACCCCAAAGCCCCGTATTAATGACTGCTCAAGCTCATAACATACCATCAGTTTGGTCTCCACATGCCCTGAAGTTTAAACTTAAATTTAATCCTGGGAGATGTTCAGAGGAAAGACCAAATGATACCCAAACACCTGGCAGGGTCAGTGCCACAAAGGATAAGCATATTCTGTCAGGATTTATGTCATCACAAGAACGCAACCACATCTACCAAAGAGCAGGATGTTAACCTTTCATTGTTTTATATACAGCTATAGACAACAAGAGCTCCTTCTCCCAAATCCATAAATATAAGGAGATAAGAAAGATGAAGCTTGACGGGGATTCTGAAATGAAGCAGTGTGGTATTTAAGCCTTCAAGGAATTTAAAAAAAAAAAATCAGTTTAGTCAGAGCACACTAGACCTTCTTCCTCTTGGGGGGCTGAGGATTCAGAAGGGCACTTGGGATAAGCCTCATTCTGTCTTAGCTTCCAAGCAAGCAACACACTAGAGAGACTCTTCCACCAGCCACATCCTCATGTGGCTGTTGCCTCCTGCTTGCCCTGCTCTTTTCAAACCTTTAACACTTTATGGCTAAGTTAGCATATCAGTGGCAGGAATGAAAAAAAAAAAAAAAAGAGTAGCTACTGCAGAAATAGATCCATGGCTAGGTTGGACATTTCTTTCCAACCCTAGGAGGACCTTCCCGTCCCTCAAAAAGTTATCTGGGTGCTTGCTTAGAAGATCAGAACTTCTATAGTTATGTGAAGGACAAGACTGCACAGAGTACAGTGGCATCTTACTGACTGGGAAAACTCAAATGGAAGACATCAGTGCATAGTCTCTTCAAGCTGAGTTGCATTCAAATCCACACCTCAAGAGCACCTCCACTGCTAGGCTAGAGGCAAGGTTAGTATGAGAAAGATCTTCTAGCCCATATGTTTCAACTGACAATGAACATCCAATATGGACAAAGTATGAACCAGAACGTGCAAACATAAGCGTAGTGAACAGAACATTAGGTGAGGAGAGAGGAATTCCTTGGAGTTTGTTTCCTTCTCTGTAGATGCTTGATACAGTGAGTATAAACTAGAATACAGCTAAGTGTTCTAGCACTCCCTTAGGCTGCAGAGCAGATTTTGTTCAGGACAACCTAGCTTTGTCTACACAGACTGGAAATCCAAGGCATCTTTCTTGGCCCCAGATTTCATACTAATAACCAATGCCGTAGAGTCAGGCACAGCAATACCGAAGTCCTTTATCAGATCTAGCCCCACGTCTTCTCCAAAATGGCAGCGTTGACCAATCACTGAAACTTCTAGCCCAGATTCAGAAGTATCACACTGCAAATGGAAAGTATGGATCAAACTTTCCAAACTACTGTTTTTAAAATGCTATATAATTTACTTTTCAGTAACTCAGCTTCTGTTTCTAGTAAGAAATGAACTGCAGCATGAAAGATATGCCTTACCAGTTTATACATGCAGATACACACATCATAATAAAACAAGACTAGCTTCTGAAAATACTAGGTTTTATTCACACCCCAGTGGTAAACAATAACCTTAATATGATTACTAGGTTTCTTTTGAAGATCACTATGTCACATAAAATACAAAACCCATAGCATAAACAAGCTGACAGTTATGAATGTTTAATGTGGTCTCATTGGAAATTAAACAAGTTATACTAAGTCTTCTCAAGTAGTCAAATTCAAAATGCATCATCATCTCCTAGTTAGTACAAGTCACTGCCATTTCTATAACAAAGTAATGAAGGCACAGCTAGTGCAAGCAGACTTAAACCCGTTCAGACTACTGGGCTGAAAAATACTTTGGTTGGTTCTTCAGGAGAGAGTTTTCTCTAAACAAATATTGGTCTCAGTTAACAGTTCTGGTAAGCTTTACAGCTGCAGTCTAATAGCTACATGACAAAGACTTCACAAGAACCAAACTATGCAGCAATGAATTAACATTCATGCTTTAGGGGATTTACTGCATTCTACATATTGGCAGAAAATTATACTGTTAAAATGCTAGGTAGATTGAACCTACATTTTAAACTGGTTCTCATGTGTTTGATTTCTTTTTTTTAACAAATCGGTTACTTAATTCTACCAAGATACAAAACATAAGGCTGTAAGTAACTAATAGTTGTGTTTAGGCTATTACAGTGCAGGTAATCCTCAAGGCCACATACACACTGCTTCACTGCTGCTTGCATTCTGCTGGGTTTTGATCCTTCTGTTGAGAAAAAAGGAAATGTCAGTTTACAGATATCAGTGTTTTAAAAGAACTACTAGTAGTGCTAAGCATACTTTCTCAAGTTCCAGTATTCACATTCTTCTTTCACCTTTTCCCTTAAAACTAATTGCCTAGTATTAGCAATACTGCTGCCTTTGGATGTGGCAACATCCGCGATGCATTTATTTTGGCTTTGTTAGTGCATAGGTAGGTATATGATCGAGAACAAGAATCTGTTCAGAACTAAGCGTGGTGGGATACTCTGAAAGACACTAAACTGGAAAAAGGAGGAGAGCTATGCATAGTAACAACCTGGCTCAGAAGCAGCATCCAGGCCTTCTACACAGTTTGAGGCAAAAGAAACTTCCTGTGGTTAGTAACAAGGGCACAGCCTTACTCCAGAAGCCACTGTAGAGCAGTGCAATGAAACCCCAAATCATGGTATGTTCTTAACACTCTGGAAGCAGCTTTTGCAATAAATTCCAGTTGTTAGAAAATCCTAAACGTGGAGAATTTCTGCTATTATACTGAAACAGACAACCAACAATCTCTCACAGTAAAATTGGAATTTAAGGAAAAACCTTTTTGGGGGCACAGTTCAGTTGCAAATTTTACTCGACTACCTTGGTCTGGATAGCTATTCTAGGACCACAGTGCTTTAATAATCAGCTGGCTTTCAGCCTGTGATCAGCTTACAATTATTTATCCTTGTGTCAATACACTATAGTACTGCTACTGTCTCTAGCCCTTTGGCAGTCCTCTCTGAAACGGAGCATACAGTCTTGCCCTTTCTCAGTTCTGTTTAGCCTAGAAAAGCTATCTGAAATGGTGGAAATAAGAAGCCCACCTTGCAGCTGTTTCATTTTGACTCTAAAACTTGCTTGAATAGGAAGCAATTTGAATACACTATAGCTAATGAAACATCACCAACAGGTTGTACATTTTGATTAATAGTTCAATACCCTACATCTTTCTAGGTACAATGCTCAGATTATGTAATTCTTTCAATCGTACTTTGAATGTAGCTCAAACCATTCCTACTGAAAAATATGCTGCCTCCGCATTTGAAATTGCAAGCACATTTTGTAACAGACATTTTTAGTTCACAGACTTCAATTTCACAACTGCAACTTTCACCTACCACCATCAGATGCTTTCAAATGTACCTTTCCCTCAGCCAGGAAAAACTATAACTGAGTGGCTCACAACCACTGTTACAGGAAACTGAGCCTTGACTAGTAATTTGCCCTTCCCACAGAATAAGAAAGCTGCAAGTTGCTCTTTGCTGTTCGCATTTTAGTACCTGGCTGTAGACACATTCCCGAACCTTGACTTTTGCTACCTCAAGCAATAAAAGACTTGCTATTATCCACCCTGAAAAAGCCTCAGTTTTGCACTGATGGGAAAATATGTGCCAGAGTCAGCTTGTGACAAGTTCCCAAAAACTGAACCTGGATTACTCAGTTCTCTGCATATTCTTACAACCATTACAGAACACTTTCATCGTTAGCAGCAACTTGCTGCAAGACAAGTTTATAGAAAACCAAGCCTGACTGATTTCAGTGCTCAAAGCCAAAAGTTACTTTTACAAAATGATTCTTGGAGAAAGAACTTTAAAAAGGTTGCTCTACCAATATTAGTCTGTCAGAACTGGGATTGAAACAGCCTCTACCAAAACATACTCACCATAGGAACTATTGATTAAATACTTAAACTAAAAATCAAGATTCAAACCTACATGAAATTTTAAGTGTGCATATGTATACACAAACTTCAAACATTCTTAATTCCTTACTTTTGGGTCATAATCAGGATCATTTTCTTCATCTGCTTCTTCTTCCCCCTCCTGAAAGAAAACACTTGTTTATATTTCTCTAGGTTATCCACATTCAGCTTCTTCAGCCATTTTCAAGAAAATTAAGATTAAATCCTACTCTTAAATACATTAATTACCACTTTGAGTTTTGCATATTGTATTAAGTTTGCCCTCCATAAAGCACATAATCTTTTGGCATCAGTTGCAACTTAATTTATAAGATACCTTAGGGTTGCCTTTGGTTTGTTTTTGTTGTTTTGTTGGGTTTTTTTTTTTAAATTTAGCCTAGATCCACAAAACTCTGTGTTGTATCTTCCATTTATGAGTAATACTTAAACTTAGTGTCCAGAGCATTCAAAAATTGAAGGAACTCTTATCCCAGATAAACTACAAAATGGAAACCATTTAAATCAAGGCCATCTGTCAACTTACCTCATCATCTGCCTCTTCACCTTCTTCATCATACTAGGAAAGAAAATAAATGGTTTTGATAGTGTCATAAATGCAGCTATTTATGGCTCAAGTACAGCCAGATAACTCAAGTAGATGCCAGAGACCACACTGTATTGTGCTCTAAGAGAACTTCCTATATGTGACAGATTTTTAAATGCTTTATGCATCAGCATGAACAACATTCAATCTCTGAAGATATGCTCTGGCAGAGAAAACTGTCTAACTTAAGTTCCTTGCGTGCAACACTGGAAGAGCTTATTAGACTGTGACAACACTTCTGGCCAGTAGGGTGTCTCAAAGCCTAAGGCAATCTATACATTCAGTCACTTCCCACTTCCACCTCCCCCAGTCAAGGCTTTGGACTAAGGGCTACCGTTTCACATTCTAAAAATTAATTTTAAGGCTGGACTTACCTTAGCCAAATCAAACTGCCAAACTGTCCTTGTTTGTGTGGAGGCAGGGGAGAGAAAATATTTTACCCATATAAAGTTCTGGGGTTTTGCGGTTTGCTTTTCAAGCTTTGCTGCTTTAAAGCACTTAATTCAAGCTTTTGCAGAGTTTGCTTTGAATACCTTGGCATGCTTTGAATGTGCTTATCTATCATTTTTTAAGAAGTGTGCCCTCCTGAAAAGATCAGGCTTGAATCTCAAGGCACTTGGTAGCCCAGTATCACTGTAAGCACAAAGAACAGGCTGAGCAGCTAGATAAACAGGCTAATGTTCTCTGGCAGCTCATTATAGTTCTACTGACATATTGGGTCCACCACCCTAGGAATGCCTTATACACAAAATTCACCTCAGACATCCTCTAAATGTTCAGCTTCTACCACTACTTTTGCCACAAAACTCTGAAGTCACTACCTCAAATATGAACTACCTTCGTGCTGCTCTTTACTGAACACTCTAGGAAGCTCAGCTGAAACTAATGTTGATGCATCCCATTCTAAGGATACCAACATTATAAAAGTCAGAAATTACCTGAAGTCTTTAAGCAACATTATTTTCAAAGTTTTTAGCGTTTTGAAAGATTATACTTACATCATCATCATCATCTTCAATAGCTTCTCCTGTGAAGTACAATACTGATCGAGGGACAATACGTTCACGCAAGAAATGACCTATTTCGAAGTCTGCAGCAAGGATTGCCTCAGCATCATCATCCTGCATAAAACATCATTATTTCCTCAGTTATAAGCTGATAACTACTTTTTACACAAAAACACAAGTTGCATAGTTTCTGATGCAGTCAGGTTTACACAAATCCCATGCGCTGACTTCTTTTGGTTCAGGACTTGCTTTATAGAATTGAAATCATGGAGTCAAGTTTTACACTTTAAACAGCCTACATGCATTATGCAGTGCAGGGTTGCTTCTTCACTAAGCTTAATCATACAAAATTCAGGAGTTTAAGTTTTCTTCTTCCCCCACCCCCAACTTGCTTTTGTTCAAGTAGAAAAATTGTTTAATACCTCCCATAGACTTTCAGTTCGTATGCACAATACCCTTAAGAACTAACACTAGCCAGGTGAGCCTATCTAATGAAACATTTTACAAACTACTTCTGATTTCTACAGTCCATCACCTCCATGATTCCCATCAAGCAAGCCATTGTGAAGTACCTGAGCACCTAAAAATGCCCTCCAATCCAATCCCAGGTTTTCACACCAAGTGTTTTGCTGTCTCCTATCTGAGAAATCATCTTCAATTCAAAAAGCTTGATTTTTTTTTTTTTTTACATTATGAACATACAGCTTTTGGTGTCGATGCCAACTGGAGTTCTAACAGCATGCTTCTAGAGGCTTTAATCAGATTCCTCACTCAAGCTGCATGATGTATTCAGCACTGTCAAGCATTTTTGGTAGTTTTCCTCCTTACAAAAACATGTCTTATTGCCACAGAGTTTTCTACTAGTGAGCACACAGAAGAGTGGGCTCCTGCAGTTTTCTATTCTTGTTTTATTACTTTCTCCAAGAGTTAACAGCCTGGGAATTTTTTAACAGCATAAAACACAAACCAGATACATGCAGCCATTAGAGAATATCATCCAAACAATGCCCGAAGGGAAAGACTTACACCACCCATTAGACCAAATGCTAATAACAAAGATCACTACATTTGTACAACTGTTAACAATTCACAAGGTAGCTTTCAGGAAGGATTAGCTGTTAAGGTTTACTAAACTGAATTCTACCATCCAACTCAACAAATACTCCTTCTAATAAAGAAAACTCAGAATACATACTATTCATCATAAGTATTCTCAGTTAAATACAGAAACAGTTAAAGCTGAAGCTGTAACAAATTCCCAAATAATTTCAAACAAACACTTTGTATATAAAAGCATGAATTCTTCTACTGGTGTTTCCCCTCCACCCCCTTATTTTAAATAAGCCAACTTACCAGGTCTCCACTTTCAGGAACTGTAAAAAAAAAAAAAGAGAACAAACAAATGAATAAAGTACATACTACATTTAAAGTTAATGCAGATAAACAAACATTCAGTTTACCTTCAGGAGGACTAAAGAAGTTGAAGAAAGAGTCATTGGAAACAGTTTTTGTCACTGTTCTAACTGTTCCACGCCCCTTATGTTTCTGCTTCTTCTTAATGGTTTTCAAAGTAACATTCTTTCCTTTTTTCCAGTCTATTTGGCAACTGGAAAGAAAAAGAAAGAAAAACAGATGCAGCTTAATACCATTCCCCTTGTTACAGGTACCTACTGAGACTATCACAACTGCAAGGGATACAGTGAATATAAAATATTAAGGTAGTATTTATTCAGTGCCATCTTTTCATTACTTTTGTTCTCAAAAATATAAACTAACAGGTTCATTTTAGGATTGAAGTTTTTTCATCCAAAAGTTTTTCCTTCCCCACTCAATCTCTGAAGTACTAATTTTCATCTGCTACTTAGTTCTACCTAGTTTCCTATCAAAGAATGGTGTCACATCATTTTTGGTACTACCTATCCATTATAAAGTCATGTCATATTCAGTCATGCTAGTAATATGCCAAGGTTTACCAGACCTATCATTGTAATCAATAAGCCCTTAAAATAATGCATCAAGCAGGTGTGTAGGTTTTGGTTGGTTTTTAGTTGTTTGTGGGTTTTTTGCATTTTGGGTTTGTGTTGGGGGGGAAGGTTGTTGTTTGTTTGGGGTTTTCTTGTTGTTTTTGTGGTTTTAAATTCTATCCTGCTAAATCATGCCCACAGGCTTGTCTGACAGTCACACAGAATTGTGGGGACATGTAAATGAAGTCACATCAAAAAGACCATCTGCATGTGCAGAAGTTTCTGATTAGATTATTTTAAAGACTCAAAGGAAGGAGCTGAGTTGTTTTGGGATAAGAGGCTGTCTTAGTTAAAACACAAGACAAGGACTACGAATAAATCATTTTCACGGGAGCAGAGTGTCATCGTACAGCAACCTCTACCAGCATTTATGGTTTTCAAAAACAGTCCAAACTGAGGAAGACAAAACTGTTTCAAGTTTGCTACTCAAGCACTTAAGACTACATCTTACAGGACATTTACAGAAGTATGCTACATTAAGTGACAGGAAAATGAAGTGGTAAATAAAAGTCAGTATCAGTAAATGCAGAGTAATATATGGGTAAAACCAACCCTGACTATGCCATGATAGGCTCTAAATTAGTTATTATCACTCAGAAGATCAGTCAGAACACTGAAGAGATATTAACACAAAAGCAACTGAGAGGCCATGATGCACAGAGCCCTGATGTACCCATAAGGCTAGTGATGTACAACTTGGGTTTCTCTCACCCTTCTGTTCACAAGGGACATGTACAGAATAAAGAGATTATTTAGCGTGAGGAATAACAGCTAATTTAGAACAAAAGACATCACAGAGAAAGAAGTGTGACAGCTCTTTAAAATCATGAGGAACCTGGAGTTAATAGGAGCTGGCTGTTTTCCATTTCTCAAATAGATCAGCTGAAAGACACTCAGAGGTAAACATTCAACACTTATAAAACAAACCTGACAACTGCAACATAGAAAGTAAAACTGGAATAGACTTCCCAAAATGCTGCATGTCAGAAATACAGAAAGATTAAGAAAAATGCTCAAATTTTGAAAAAAGCTATCAAGGCCTACAAAAAGATAACACCATCCACCTTGCAATTCATATTTAGTGATTGCAGAACAGTATTTCTAGATAAATACTGATTAGTTTTTTTTTATTTCTATGCATATATATTTTATATACTTATAAATGATATACAAGTTATTGTCCTGGTTTCAGCTGGGATAGAGTTATTTTTCTTCCTAGTAGCAGGCATAGTGCTGTGCTTTGGATTTAGTAGGAGAAGAATGTTGATAACACACTGATGTTTTTAGTTGTTGCTGAGTACTGCTTATGCTAGTCAAGGACTTTTCAGCTTCCCATGCTCTGCCAGGTGCACAAGAAACTGGGAGGGGGCACAGCCAGGACAGCAGACCCAAACTGACCAAAGGGCTATTCCATACCATGTGACGTCATGCTCAGTATATAAACTGGGGGGGGTTGGCCAGGGGGCAGCGATTGCTGCTCAGGAACTGTCTGGGTATCGGTTGGTGGGTGGTGAGCAATTGCATTTCAACTATTAAATTGTTCTTCTGTCAACCCAGGAGTTTTTCTCACTCTTACTCCTCCGATTCTCTCCCCCATCGCACCGGGGCAGGGGGAGTGAGCGAGCTACTGCGTGGTGCTTAGTTGCTGGCTGGGGCTAAACCACGACAGTTATAAGAGATATAGTTTTATATATTGTATTGAAGTTATTGAAAATCACTTAAAAACTCAAGACGAACCCCAGCTGTTTAGAAGTTATTAGGCAGCAATATCTTTTCAGCACCTTACCAAGATGCTGTAAGTCTACAGCTGGATAATGCCAAGGAAGAAACTGTTACATTGCGTTATTTATTAGCACTTACCCTGTACAACCCATGATTTCTGGTCCATCAAAGGAGAAGGGATCAGAATCATCTGGCTCTGACCTCATTCTATACGTCTTTGTCAATACTTCATTTGTGAAGTAGTCATTTGGTTCAAAATGAAATTCTAATGTGAAACTCTTAAAAAGAATTGCAGAGCAACAACTTTAGCAATTTAACAACACATACCATTAACTTCTAAATACCTAAAATCCAAACCCAAAAATACACATGCAATGGAATATATCCATCTCCTCCAACACTGAAACAGTGCATATATGTAACTTACTGTAGAATTTGCTACCCAAGTTGTACAATAAGTCTTCAAATGTTTTCATTTACCATGTTGATCTTATGCTTATTAGTTAATATACTGCATGCATTAATGACACAAGATCTCCCAGTGTACTGTACAGCTTTCCTGGTGCTAAGGTATAGAGAACTTCTAAATTTAAAATATTAAAACTTAGCAAGCCATCTGATTTCTGGCAAGGAAATTATATCCAATTATAACAGTTATACAAAAAGTACCTGAAGGTATCAAAATTCAAAGGTGAAACTTAGTCATCAGTTATTAAGGCCAAGTTATTAACTCATCAGAAGTTGAAGGTTAAATTAAGTATAAATCCATTCATATGGTACTGCAAGACTAGTACTAGTCCTTGTACTGCTTTTCAGGAGACAAGAAGCAGCTGCATATTTCTCATGATTGCCATAAGACAATTGGCTACCACAGACCACACTACTAATATACAAACAAGGTAACACAAAAGTAATGTTAATAGGTTAAACTAACCATAGGCTGTCCAACTTCTGAAAATTTCACTTTTATATCTTTTAAGTGTTTCAGGATAGGTTCATCATGTTCCTGTAAAGAAAACACAGCTTATTCAATTTTCATAATATTAAATTGTTCACAGATTTAAGATCCCACAGAGATAAAAAGCCATATTTAAAATGAGTTTTACATATGACAAGAACCTTGTTACAGCACTGAAACATCTTCATGAACATGACCAGCAGACAGCAACAACGGCCATACAGCATTTCCACTGCAGTACACAACCTAAATCCATGCTAACACCAAGTAGTTTTTAACAATATCTAATATACCTCACAGACACACTCCTATAAAAAATGAAGGTGTATTAGCAAGGTAAAGTAAGTTCAACAAACAACAACATGGAAAGAAGGTATTTCAGACTCCTCTGTGCTCTCAGTTGAATAAAGTACCAGAGATGACATCCAAGTACTTGTTCCATTTTTGCTCTCCAACAGACACATCAAGTAATGTACTCTTTGTACTCCTTTCTTAAAAAAAGACACTTGGATTAAGTACTAATGCAACTTCAAACAAGCCTGGACCACCACCTACCTGAACCATATCACTGAGCAAGTCCACGTTCTTGAATACTGTCAGCCAAAACTCAGGAATTCCTTTAGGGTCTTCTTTTTCTTCATCCTTTTTTTCCTCTTCAAGCTTGGCTTTCTCTTTCATTTCCTCCTTGATAGAATAAAAATGTTAGTTTTTCTTAATTTTAAATGAGTGCCCACAAGGTTCATTCACAGTTTTATGTTGATACCAGTACAGATTAAATTTCATGCACATGCTTTAAGTAATCACTATGAATTATTATAAGCAAGCAATCATTATGCACCCAATTTTTTTTTTTTTTTTAAACTTTAGTCACTGTATTGAATCTTGTTTCATGCTAAAGCCTGATATTGATGAGAATGGACTATGATACTCACTGAAATTTCTTCTTCAACATCTGCTTTCCATTCACATTCTTCCTCTGTAGGTTCATAAATTGCATTGATGATTTCACTTCGCTGGAAGATTAAACCAAGAATATTTTGACATTTCACAGTCATTGCAACCAGCAATGCCCTAACCAAAAAATTCCTAATCCTAAAGTAACACAATTAGTAATACATTAACTATTTATCACAGCTTTTTCTTCTGGCCCTAGAAAACGTCTTAGCAGTTACGAGCTTTTCAACACACTAAAATAAGCACCAAAGTTCCAGAAAGGTTACCATATCATTTGACACCTGCTCAATTAACAAGATGAGGCCTGGTATATTGAATTGAAAAGACTGAACCTTTCTCCACTTAATCTTAGTTGATATTCACATGGATGGTAAAATGGTGTCAATTGAATTGAATGGGCATATACAAGACCAAAATAATTCAGAACATGCATAAGCTTTCAGTTTATATTCCCTTGTGTTTTAGCTAAAGCTTTTAAGTACAAATCAGATTAGCATTAAAATACCTTGTCAAATAAGGGCTGATAGAGAGCAGCATACTTTCTTTCCAGCTCATGAACTTCCTCATAGAACTTTGCTTCTATCTGTGCACACTGAACTTGAAGGTTCTTTAGAGCATTCACACGTCTTTTAACAACTTTAGGCAAGCTGAAAAATTCAGTGACAAAACTGTTACTAACACTGCATGCTAAGCACATGTTGACCCCTCCTTAACCAGCCCCCTTAATAACCAACTTGCATCAAAACAGATTTTACACTCTACTTTAAGCTTCAGAAAGCTGAACAAACCAAAACTACAACCCACTGTACCATGCGGATTGAAACTGTTAGCACAGGCTCTTAAACTGAGGCTTAACCTGAATTAGAACCAGAGTATTCCAAACACTTGGATGAACCATGAGACAAACTTGTGCAGCAAAACCTCATACTAAAAAAAAATAATCCAGTTTTACATTACCAATGAGCAGCATAGTAAATTCATACGATTGAGCAGAAGTAAAAAATGTCTAATCACTAACAAAATTCACATTTTTGTTTTACTCAGGAAAGCAGCTGGTACTACTGTCTCCTAACATCCTAACTGTCACTCCCAAAATGAGCCAGAACTGGTTCACCAAATGAGCCACTGTATTATACATGTATAAAAGGAAAACAATTAATGCAATCCTCATTATAAATACTTGTCAGCTACAACTCTTTAACACTAGTTTCACTTTAGTAAAATACACTAACAGACTTGCTGTTAGGACAGAAAGTTACATCAAGGCTACTGGTGAGATTTATGGGGTAGACTGCTGACAGCTTCCATTCCCTGTGAGGTGGGCGAAACTCCAGCATATGGCTACAGAAGATTACCATGTTAACTTCCCATATTTATTTTATTTAAGCAGTTGGGCCACATTATTTAGAATACTGTAGTAAACAACTGCTTTTAATTGTTAGGACCAGCTTCAGGTTAGAGGAAGTAACCAAGAACATGTTAGCTTAGTTAAACACTGAAAGTTCACATTAATTAAAGCTATGTTATCTCTATTGGGTAGGACAAGCACATGTTTCGACATCCTTGTTCACTTTAAAAACACAGAACCCTTCTCCCTGACAGCTTTATGCTCAACATGAACATACTGTTTCTGGTTACTAAGATAATATGCAGACCACCAAGAAATCAAGATTTCCCTTAACATTCTGATTTGGGCAAAAGTACATCTGCTACACAAACTACCAAAAAAGCTTAAATTTAGTCATGTATGTTCATAAAGGGTTGATAGCATTCTTTTACTCTGGTATTTTCCCAGAAGTTAGTCAAGTTAATCATTTGCTGTAATTTTATCTTCAAGTACAATATCAGAACTAACAGCAACTTTAGCAAGTTCAGTTAGTTCAGGAAAAAACGTTAAGCAAAAAACTTAGTAAGACTGCACAGATAAGTCATAAAACAATCACCCACTTAATGCCACATGCATATATTTAGACTGAGTACTGGTCCTAGCAATTGCATATAAAACCACTGTGAAATTTCTAAAAGGTGGCACCACACATACAGCATGTCCAACTCCAGTATGTCAGAGTAAAGACTTTAACCCCTTTATTAAAGAATCGAGAATCTTTTGCATGTGTCAAAGCTACATTTAGTTACAGCCCATGCCAACTAGTTCAAATTTCACAATTTGTACATCTACTACCTTTATAAGCTCTGTATTTTTTTTATAAAAAGAAAGGTAGTTTCATGAAGGAGACAGCTTTTACAAAGTAAATCCAAAATGGAGAAGCAGACCAAGAAGTATGAACTGGACTGCACAAGTACAACAACAGCAGGTAAAACATGTTGCTCTGAATACAAGCCACTAGCAAGTGTTATAATTACACAAGACTACAACATCCTGTGAGCAGCTGAAGGGAAATCCTACTCTATAAAAGTAAGTTCCATTAAAATTATTGTGACCAGGCACAGGTGAAGAGGTAAGTTATTGTATAGCTGCCAGACAATTAGGAGATCCTAAGCCTGAGCAGACAGATGTTTTCCTGGAACCTCTTCAGTTTCCTACCAGCTTATGCATCTGGTTCCTTAACAGCCCACCTAACAGGCTTTTAGGATCCCAAACTCCTGCTGACTTCAGTGCCATCTCAGTGTCTAGATTCTGTAGATAAATAAGCTCAAAGCAATACTTGGGAAGGCACATAGGAGGCACCTGTAAGGCATGGTTAAGTCAGCATGCATATGTTAAGAAAGTGCAGACAAGTTACACACATTTTCCAGCTATTTTTGCACTGCAAGTTAGATAAGCATTTAGTAACAATGGCAAAGTTGCAATGCTTTTGTGATAGAGAATGCACTACTGTACTTGGAACTGATGAAGAAATGGTACAGTATCTTAGAGAGCAGCTGACTAGAAGAATACCATGTAAATCAATGTTACCACTTTTGTTCACTTCTTAGATCAAGGACCTGAAAGATTAGTAGAGGTTAATTAACATCTGTTGTAAAAACAGAAGAAAAATATTGGGTATGGAAAGCCTGTAGTGTACAGTGTCTAGAAGAGAAAGAACCTAGGTACCCTTTGACTCCACGCTCTTTCTTGGGCCAGTACTTATTGGGGAAGGATGTTAGTTAAATGGGCTTTTTGTCCATGCTATCATCTGCAACAGGAAAGTGGTATGAGTAGGAGTAGCAGCAGCAGCAATGCCTGTTACTCAGCAGCTGCCCCAATTCAAGTCAATAGCAATATAGCAAGACAGTTGTATGCTTTACAGTTCCTGTGGATGTGGTAAAATGTTCGTACACAATCAGAGATTACATGAAAGAGCCAGAAAATTCTATCTACTAATGAAGATCAAGTAAAGAAAATCTTACCAAGAGATTGTTGCAAGTTTTGATACATAAGGAGACCACACCAAGTACTGATACAACATTCCTGATTTTGTTAGCTCCTGGTTACACTCTAATGAAAAAATGACTATATTAGAGACACTAGGTCTCCAAGTATTTGTCCATACTTAAGATAACTGATGTTTCATGATTAAGGCAAAGCTACAAAAGACATTCCAAATAGCAGAAAAGTATCTTTTAAAAGTGTGCCATATCACAACTGCAGGGGACAGGGTCAGCCACTGTAAATATTTTAGCATTCTTTTCTTCATAAAAGCCCAAATAAAAACTCTTTAATTCTGAGATGCACTTACAGACTATATTAGTTTTCCTGCTATCTGGGCAGCACAGTGGTTTATGACTATTAATCCTACAGACAATACTGTTCAGAAAGCAAAAGAACCATTTATACCACTCTGCTCATACTGAACAAATATACTGTACCTTTCTATATATCCTGTAGATGTTCCTACCAGACCATCAAGTCTTTCCTGAAGGGCTGCAAGAATCTGAGGATTTTGCATCATTTGCACAGTCAACTGCCGAGCTAAATGAAAAAAAGAAAATTACATTAAATGCGAAGTGCATCTTTTGGACTAATCTTGAAAGAAAAGTTACTTAAATACTACAAAAGAGCACTAAGTTCACTATTTATACACTTGCAAAAAGAAACATAGGCAGAGAAGTATTTCAAACACCTCTCCATTTTGGAAGCATGGATCAAATCCATCCTATTCTGAACACAGAAGCAGCACCTGCATTAAAATGGCCACTACTCAGCAAGCTGAGCTTTTTTTCTTAAAAGGGAAGGTTTTATATGATGCCTCTAAAAGCATCAGTTTTGCCTTGAGTGCTTTTATTTTGAATTCGTTAAGGAAAGGTAAGGTAGAAGAATTTGTGCTTTTACTTTAAGAAGGGAATAAAAACTGGAATTCGGGTTTTCATTCCATTTTAGGTAAATGGAAAGAAACAAGACAGTTTCAGACTTGGTTTTAAAACTGCTTTACAAATCTATGTTTACCTATTTTTTTCCTGCAAAAGAATAAATTATTCATTAGAATAGTCTGCCACATTATTGACTACAGATTATCAGTACTAGGTCCTTGAAGTCCATCATCTACATCTTTAGAAAGCACTTTGTCCAAATGGGAAACCTGTTTCAAGCTACAAGGTAGAAGTACGTTAAAAAACCCACACAAATTCCTAGCCTAAGTGTTCTCATTATCCATATTAACATCAACCCTTTTACTTCTGCTCAAAATCTTACCCCAACCTGCAGAAATGAATTTCACTTCATATTTTTTAATAAGAATTATGACCAGTTTTTATCATGCTGGTTTGCCTTCTTCCCCCTATCCTCAACATCTATAGATAGGCAAACAAATACATTGCATTCTTTATAAGATACTAGGTTTATATAGCATTCTTCTGACACCTTCAAATTAGAGAGCTTTTGAATCATTCCTGATACATGAAGCTTTTGTAAATAGCATACCATTTCCCATTTTTATGGCCTTCACTACAGTGACCACATGTGAATATTCTGTTCCACTTTTATGCTCTAGAACTGAAATTACATGCTGAAAAGTTATGTTTCAAACAGCATCCAAAAAGGTAGTCTTGTTTCTCCATAATGATTGCAATCAGTTTATATTTTAGCAGTAGAAGCGGTAATTACTTCTTAAAGGTACTACCTCACATTAGCCAACATTATTCTTCCTGTCAAGGCATCTAGTTTTCTCTAGTCTTACTATTCATTACTCTTTCCTATACACTTGAAAACCTACCCTATTTGTGCCATTTGAGTATGTTGCCAGTTATTCTTTAATACTGAATCAGTATACACATCATACACATGGTATGCCAATGCCAACAGCCACATCCCCTCAAACTGAAATCCGACCACATATTCTGTTTTGCAAGTTCTTGGATCCATGAACACTATTTCTTCAAAGAGGTTTTTCCTAAAAGCAAAAGTGCTTTACTTAAGTGTCCACAGAAGGACCTTTGACATATCCCAGACTCCTATGGTATAATTTCCCCTCAGATCGTCAACTACAATAGCTGGGATTAATCACTAAAAATACATATTACTCATCTCTAGGTTCCTTTGGGACACCTGAATACTTACCATTTAATTATGGTAAGCTGTTCTTCAGCTGACCAGCTGTGCTCCCCAGAATTTTGCATCCAGTTTTCAAAACACGTTTTTCAATAGATATAGCAAAGCCTCTAACACCATCTTGCACAAAATTATCCTGTTTTTCTTTAGTGTCATTATTCCATTCAAGCAATCACACAATGTGGCACTATCAGCACTCCAAATCATTTTATTACAGAGATTATTAGTTATTTCTTTTGGCTACTTGCTCTTCAGATTCTATCTGTGCCCCCATTCTTTAACTACAAAGCATGAGTAAGACTGTTCAGCACAGACAAAACAAGCATTCTGATACATGTTCAGGTTTTTTTTGTTGAGGGAAAAAAAGAAGGGTTTATTGATTTTAAGAGTTGTAACACTAAGCATGATTTTTATTTTGCACAAAGATCTAAGCAGTAAATTACTAAGCAACTGATAAAAAAAAAAAGACACACATATATGCACCTGATCTTTTTCTACCCAAAGCTTCAAAGGGGGGGGCAGGGAAGACCTTTCTTCAGAATTTAAATACAGCTGTACATCAGTAGTTATGTTTGGCCATATCCCATTATTTTAAACAGTAAAATCCTTTTAACACATTAATTAGAAAGCACATATGCAACTGCTTAGAAACCCTTGTTTTCAGCATTACCTTTGCTGTTGGCATCTTCACCAGTTTCTTCTTCTTCTACTTCTTCAACATCTTCCATATCCTGTTGATCAAGTTCCGACTGTTCTTTGCTATTAGGAATATTCAATAACAGGATCAAGAAGTTAATTTTGTAAAATACTATAATGAGCTTAAAGAGCTCAAGTTAGAGATCACATGGGTAGAAAAAAAAAAAAAAACATTGCATCAGTTTTGATCTACAACAAACTAGAAGTCTTAATAGCCAAAGCCAAATTTATCTTCATAGATTCAAGTTTCACATTAGACAATCTCAGAACAGTCTGAAAAACTAGCAGCTTTCCAGAATTTTGAAGATTCCTTTTTACAAAAGAATTCTTTCAGCTCCTGTTCATATCAACAAGTCAAAGCCTCCTTCTGTGCTACACATCCTCTTTGTTAAGATGTGCAGGTCTTGAGAACTGAGGGTAGCTTCACCTAAACTGTACTTCGAATGCCACAAAATGTAAGCATTCAAAGTATAGAAAAAACTACAGAGTGAAACAAGAGTAATCGGCAGTACTACCGGGTTTTCCTCTCCAGAATTCCAGCTAACATAGTAAGTTGACTGGTGCCTTGTCCCAGTTTTAGATTCACTTACAATTAACATCTCAAACCCATTTAGCATGAGCAACTCAAGCTTCTCTCCCACAAGCTATATACATCACATCTTGCTACAGCACCAAGATCACTACCTAGACCCTGTCTATCAAGTGTCTGGAGATCACAGCCATCTGAAGTACAGCATAGGACAGTCAGAGCCTCAGTAACCTACAGATTTTACTTACTTGTCTATGTCTGCCATACTCCTAGATTTCAAACCCTAGAGGAAAAACAAAAACATAAGAACAGCAGCATTAGACTTCACTTACAAGGTCTACAGGCAAGTGCCATAATACTAAAAAGGAAAGAAACACAAACCACCACAGCTTCAAAAAATAGCATAAATCCATACTGTAGTCCAAAGAGTGGCGTATCTCCCATGCATTTTTTGAGCTCTCACTCTAAAGCATACAGAAATACTGAAAATCTTTGTTCTGGTTTAGAACCAATAGATCTACTCACATAAATTTAAGTACCAGCAAAATGCTGCGTTGCATTTTGTATCATAGGCCTGTACTCATATCACAGATTGAAAACTAGTCCTGTCTAAGTATAAAATCAAAATATAACCTGAGTAAAACTGAAGCAAAAAGGGTGCTAGAACTCTTCTGGTAACTGTTTACTCATTTCCAGCATGTCATTGCAGACAGAGGATACTTAGAGTTAAATCAGTTTCTTTTAATACTAAAAATGTGTTTTTGTGAATTTACTTTTAATCCCAACTTTACAAAACCAATCCAAGTAGTTCCTCAGAATACCCAGAGAAATGCAACATTAAAAAAAATGGATGCCAGGTGCCAAGCTATTTAACATGACTAATTTCCATGTCCTGAATGATCAGAATTTTCTTAAGTATCTCAGTATCATCATGAACACATTCCAGACACAGTAACTAGAAACATTGTATGTTGAGACTATTGCAAATCATGCATACCACAAAGCACCTATGTTCTCAAATGTATTACAAGATGAATAACATTTTCCACCAGCAAAACAGTACTTAGGAGTCTAGTCTCCAAAAAGATGTTGGGGGTAGCTTCAAGTCAGAGACAATACTACACAAGAAAACACTGTCCCATTACTGCTGTCTTAGGGTGCAATTGTTCAGGAGACACCAAGTACCAAGAATAATCCACTGGTTCGGGAAGCATAAAACCCACTGCTTTAGAGTCCCCATTTTAGCTGCTGTCTAGCAAGCTAAACAAATTCAAGTTTCCTTCATGAAGTTCAACTCCTTATAATGTGTTCCAATGAAAATTTTAGTCAAAGTGTTGGAGGTGTGTGTTCCAGGAAGAAAAAAAAAAAGAAAAATTGCATTCGATCTGTCCAAGTGTGTAACACAAGAGCACAATCCCAGTAAGGTCAGGAGGTTAATGGTCATTATGAAGAGACATGTTAGAATCTAAACTTCAGAATTTAACACAATCAAAATATATTTTTCTGGTGTCATAACTACTTCCCAACAATTACATGGGAAGGAAGTATCTGATGTCTTCATTTAGGACCACAACTTTACAGTGCCAATAAAGTATTTAGGAGACTGCACGTAATCAAAAAGGTTCAATTCCCTAGTATGCAGAAAAACTAGAGAACCAACTACTTACCAATTTATTTCAGAAAAATAATACACTATTTGCTATCAAATAGAATGGCAGCACTACTGTAAACCAAAGGACATCTAGCAATTCAGTAAGAAATTGAGGAGTTCCAGAAACATTTTTGTCTCATTTTAAGTTTCTCAAAATTCAGATCATGTTTGCCTTGTCTTGTGACTTCAAGTTTACACATGGATGCAAGCTGCCTATATAACAATTGCAAAGAGTCTCCTTTGTATACCATTCTCAAAAGCTGGCATGGACTGAAGACCTACAGAAACTGAAAACATACTACAATTACAACTCGCATTCAAATGTCTCCATATTTCTTGAGCGACATAACAATTAGCATTACTTCTGATTTGCAAAAGATTTTGTCGATGCAAAATATACAACTTTTTCCTTAAACATTTCCTCTTAACTTGTTCTCCATGCAGGACTTTTTCAAGGAGACTGGTAGTATCACTGTGCAAAAGATGCACAGTTCACCTGCCTTTCACACATTTTTATGCAAATGTGACAAACAGTGATCACATTCACAAACTATTATTGCTCCTTGCAGAGACCAACATTTCCTCTCTCCATTCTCCCCAAATACAGCTTCACTTTCCATAAAACTAGAGGCAGTTCTTTCAACAAAGGTGTGAAAACACAATCCCTGTGGTCTCACCAAGCCAGCAGGCTAGATGAAAAGCAGCTGAACAATCTTAGATAAAGGTTTGCTGAAAGAGACCGACTTCCACAGTTCGCTTAAACATTTTTTTTTTCTAAATGAGGACATGAGATAGGCTATGACCAAGTCATGCCTAAAAACTTGAAGTATTCATCCCATCTCCAACAGTGGCCACTAGCAGATGCCTAGAAAAAAGGGGGACATGGGAAGAATTACCTCAGAAACTCTTCTAAGCTTTCAATTATTCAGAAAAAAAAACCCACTCACTCAGGAAGTGCAGGTATTTGACAACATAATAATAATTTTTTATTTCATAAACTAGTTGATTTAGTCCCTGAAACCATGCAGGTAAGCTGATATTATCACTCAAGTATCAAAGCACTCAAGTCCTATCTCTGAATTGCAACATTCAGCTCAGAGATCATAACTAAACCAGATTTTCTTACACTAGGCAGCAGTGTGGCAGAGGAAGTTTCACCAGCTGTCTCTGTGTCCTTGAATTCCTCAGTGGGCCCTTGTTTTCACCATTCTGAACAACTACCTGTCACCAGCAACCTTCGTCCTTTCACTGTTCACCCCTCTTTCCAAGATCACTCATGACCATGCTGAAGGCATTCATCTCATTACAGAACCCTGTGGAAGTCTGGCATCTGCCTCTCCCCCCTCATTGCAAAGAGCAGTTACTCACCCTCTGCTTCCTGGCTTTTAAACAATCCACGCAAGTACCGTATGTTTTCCAACTGTGGCCCAGTTTATTCAAAGACTTTGAATAACATTCTTCGAAGATTATTTGAAAATTAAAATAGACTGTATCAAGCAGCTGTCAACTTCACAGCCTCCCTCCTGTGTGCTCCTATCTGCTTCATTCCGTTCTTCCTATTCTCCTTGCATCAGTCTTTTTTGTGTCTCATCCTTTAATCTTCCCTCCACTTATTACACAACTCAGTATCAGAACATTTGCAGTTGGAAGAGTTCTTCAAACTGAGGAGATACTACTGCTTGTCATGACACTGTCATCTGCCAGCTCTAGACAACAGTTCTTGTGTGAGGAGGCTACAAGGCACTACGCCAACAGAACTACATTGACAGACATTTAGACTAATCTGTGCAACCCACTAGCATGGATATATAGTGGCATCACATTTAGTTTATTGTCATTTACTTAAACAACCATAAGGTTTTCTGCAAACACAGTTCTACTGGTAAAAAAAAACCCCAACCTGTAGAGGTAGACAAGCATTGAGAAAATGACTTAAGAGCAAACAGCCTCCACTATTTTTGCACAATGCCTAATACAAGGTCCCAGTTTGGATACAGTATGTACCACAGTCAGTAATACTAAAATACATCACTGCAATATTTATTTTGCACTACCTCCCCAGAACTAAGTATTTGGTTACAGTACTCATATCACTCAGCTTTCCACAAGAAAGACACAGCCGCCCTTCCCTGTTTGTTTCATAGGTGCATTTAGCATTGTGAACAGCAGCTGCACCTTGGCACGTGAGCAGCAAGCAGCATTCACCAGTATCACTCCTTGAAGTAGTCCCTGGGAGACAGCAGCTCCCCAGTTGTCAGTGCAGGATTCTAACAAACCTGGCTACAGCTGGTGTGTTACTTCAAGCCTCAGGGTCTAGCTGATTGCTCTGGGCTGAGATACTACTGAGAATCTAGGCCTCCTGACTGCAAGAAAAGGCTTATGAGTACCAATAAAGGGTAGCCTCCTGCCCTGTTCAAAAACCAGCAGGCAAACCACCTCCTTATTTATAAAAAAATGTTATTTCCCTGTTACTTAAACAGCTACAGCCAGTAGTAGCACTGCATTGTGGTCAAATACAGAGGTGCCCAGAGGCTTCACTTAATGTTTTGCTGCTCACTGTAAAAACACGCAGAGGAAAAGAAATAGATATCTTATCTTTGCAGGGCTTTAAAGACAACACATAGGAAGTTCATGCTACAAAAAGGAAGCAAAAGCACAGAAAAGCAAGCTGCAGTGCAAGTTTTCTAAAGGCTAAAGTTTAAAGCCTCTTTCATACAGGTAGCTTAAGCTCTATCACAAGCCTGCCTGCCATCGCAAGAAAAGTGTTGATTTTCAAAACACAAATGTTAGGAGACTGTTAATCCAGTATAAGCTTAGCCACAGTTTTGAGGGCATCCTGCAGAATTGCTAAAAATTAGCAGAACTCCCTTAAAAACTTAAGTCTTACCAAAACAGTATGAAAATTTGCTATTTTCATCATGTTTAAAGGACACTTCACCTCTTTAATCTGCCACATTTCTCAAGAAAAGTAGTTCGATACATGCAGAAACAAATAATGGTATTGCCACATGTTCATCCTCAAGTTAGTAAGCTTCCAGTTTTCAGGGTTTATTGTTTCCTCATTAAGTAATTTTGCTCAAGTGAAGACAGAAACACAAACTGTATATATTCAGCCCTTCCCAGTTTTTCCTTTTTTCCCAGCCTGCCCTTATCCACACAGAAACCAGTCTGAGTTTGCACAGCAGCACCAGCCATGTTACAGCTAGGACACAAACACTCTGGCAAGAAGCCTTTCCTTTTTGAAGGTCAGCTTTAAGTGTCCCAAGTAAGCATGCCAGTATTAGATTACCCTGACATCCGCTCAGCCTCAGGAAGACAGGTCACGGCGAGGTGAATTAGGAGTCAGCTGAGAAGGCAAGGCATTCCTCAGACACAGTTCCTCCAGCAAAACAACAGCTTTTTTTGCACAAGCCCTAAGGCTGGCAGGCCGCCAACAGATCTCAGCTGTTCATCATCTCTGTGGATACTGTACCATGGACGGTACCCATTCCCTCCCTTTCAGGAAACATCATTTCCCCTTCTCTAGAGGAACTGCCCACAGAATTAGCTTGCAACAGCTAGTAGAAGAAATTTCTGAAGTAGTTCAAGGGACAGAAATGGGCTTTTTAAAGATGCTGGACCCAAGCTA